TCACAAAAATACAACATCAATAAAGACTACAACATCAATAAAGACTACAACCTCAACAACGACAACGATATCAAAATTAGCGAAAAATTCATTTCAGACAACAAAACTACCTCCAACACAAACTTTGCCACAGTTACTAACGAATGCATCAACAATAACATCAACAACTACATCAACAACAACATCAAAAACAACAAGATCAACAACTACATCAACAACAACATCAAAAACAACAACATCAACAACTACATCAACAACAACATCAAAAACAACAACATCAACAACAACATATACAAGCCCGGCAAAAATTACTGCCATATAAACGCTCCTCAATTACCATTATTCATACCACATAATAATGCATCCAAAACTCATAAATTCATTACATCATCCAATCGTAAATATTTTTGCCGTCATAACCACTACTACATCGACTGCTACTATTACTACTATGACTACGACTGCTGTCGCCACGGCTTCTACTACTGCTACTCTTACAGTGATAAATGTAGTAGTAGTTGTAGTGTATACTGCGTTAGTATTGTTATTTTTAATAGTACAAAAAGCGTTTATAAAAGACATGCTAGCGAAAGTCGAATCGTGAGAAGTATTTTGTGCAGAAGTTGTGAGCATGACAGTACTTTCAGCTGTAGTATTTGTAGTAGTATTATTATCAATCGTGTGAATAATTTTATGAGGAGTGAAAGTAAAACGTTCAGTATTATTTTCCACAACGCGTTGTCTCAATTAGTTCAACAACCATCGCTTAAGGGTTGTGGTTGTAGTTGCTGCAATCGACGACATGAACTGCGACGACGACTTCAACAGCGGCCTCATCAACAGCGGTTACATCAACAGCGGCTACATCAACAGCAACATCTTTTGCAACCAATGCTACAACAAGGACAACATCTTCAAAGCCGTCTTCAAATGCAACAAATACGGCCTCGAGACAAACATGCAAGAACAAATTTATTTGTATTACTACCACCATCAGCAACATCAACAACAAAAATGTCCATATTAGCACTAAAAATAGAATTTCATTCACATAAAGCCATGAATAAAACCCACCAAAGACGCCGCCAAAATCAAATCGAAACCAAATTATTAGGCCGTCAAATTTTTTTGACCTGGTCACTCCACGACAGCCAATCACAGTGGAGAGTAAAATTAATTAGGTCAGATCGTGTTCACGGAACTACCTCAGCTGTTGTTTATTCGTGTCAATATCATCGTCAATTTCATCAAAAAACACCGAGTCAAAAAATACTACTACTAATATTACTACTACCTCAATTCAAATCCTTGTGGCATGGAGTATGGTTATCGAATCATCACCATCACCATCATCATCATCATCACCATCGTCATCATTATCAGTACTATCACCTATCGTCTTCATTTTTAACAGACCACTATTATCTTCTACTTCTTTTTCATCAACATAATTATCGATATCTCGGTTACTATCATCAGCTTAATTGTCGACATCATCATCATCAACATCTTCATCTTCGTCATCATCATCTCTATTACCCTTATCAACATCCTTACCATAATCATATCCAACAGCAAATTCATCATCATCAATATTACCAGTGGCAGCAGCAGCTGAAGCAACTACATCAACGTCATCTCAAGTGTCATCGTCATCGACATCAATATCAACAACGACATCAACTTCACCACCACCAACAACTAAAGCAGCAGCAGCAACAACATCGTCGTCGTCGTCGTCCTCATCGCTATCGTCATTTTTTTCTCCGTAATCATCGTCTTCATCTTTACTGTTATCTACTAAAGTCAGATCAGCAAAGAGCCTGGGGTGATGGTTTGAGATGGTACGCTGAATTCCATCACAATTTGTCATCATCACAAACATCCTCTTCCTCCTCATGGTCGTCGTCGTCGCCATTGGTGACGTCATCGTCAACGACATCATCATACTCGTCATCTTCATCATTATTATTATTATTATTATTATTATTATTATTATTGGCTTTTTTATTTAAAAATATTTTCTCCTCAAACGCATCAGCTTGTACGCCAAAATTTTTTACACATTTCAACGTTAATTATAGTAACGCGATTAAACTAATAACTAATAATAATAATAATAATAGTTATAATAATAATAATAATAATAATAGTAATAATAATAATCATAATAATTACACCTGCACAGATGTTAGTATAGCTGAACATCATGTTTTAACATTTTCAACCGCAGCTATCTCATCCGATAAATACATTACTAAGAGCAGTAATAATAATAATAATAATAATAGTATTATTGTTATTATTATTGTTATTGTTATCATTATTGTTGTTATTGTTGACAGCAATGAAATCGATCATAAAGGTTTAAATTTAATTTTGGAACATCTAAATTTTTTTCCTCGTCTTCATCGTCGTCGTCATCATCAAACGCAACAACAACATCATTATCAACATCAACATCATCATCAACATCATCATCATCAGTTTTATTTTTTTTATTGTTATTATTATTATTATCTCCTGCTTAACCACCAACATCTAATGAAATGTCATCATTATAATTGTTGTTGTTTTTCGCTAACCTATCATCACTATCACCATCACCATCATCACTATCATCATCATAATCATCATCATCTCTGTCGTCATCTTCATCTTCCTCATCGTCAAAATTATTTTCTACGCATTGTTTCTGCCCAATCGTGTGAAAATAATGGTGCCAATAATAGTAATACAAATAATAATAATAATAATAATAATAATAATAACAACAACAAAAACAACGGTAACCTCGTTACAACTGGCGACACTATTAAAAGTATTAACAACGGGTCAACAACTTGCAACAACAACAACAACAGTAACAATAAGAATAATAATAAGAATAATAAAAGAAATAATAATAAGAATAATAATAGCAAACTCAAGAACAATAGTATTAAAAGTGCTTGTTGCAAGCCAAGTTTCAACAAAATCAGTCAGAACTGTGTATACGAAGAAACAACAACAACAGCAACAACAACAGCAGCAGCAACAACAACAACAGCAACAACAACAGCAGCAACAACAACAGCAAAAACAACAACAACAACAGCAGCAGCAGCAACAACAACGGCAACAAAATCATCATCTTTGTCGTCATCACCATCATTAACGAAATCTATGTCAGTAACGTTCAAACTATTACTGACGCTAATTTGGTTAGTTGGTTATTATCATTATTATTGTTAATGAAAATAATAGTATTAATATTTTAATTATGATTAGTAGTAGTAGTAGTAGTAGCAGCAGCAGCAGCAGTAGTAGTAGTAGTAGTAGTAGTTACATCACCATCTTCATCATTAATATTTATTGTAGTATTAAGGTTATTATCATAGGTATTAGACGATGGTTTAGTTAATGTTATTATTATTGTTAATATTATTGTTATTATTGTTATTATCATTGTTGTTTTTATTATTATTATTATTATTATTATTACGATGACTTATTCTTCACACGATAATCTTACCAGGTCTTTATTTTATGTAACAATTTGTAGTGTGTGTTCGTCTGTTTGTGTGTGTGTACATGTATGTGTCTGATGAGTGTATAATTTTTGTTCGTACCAGCGTCATCATCGTCGTCGTCATCGTCGTCATCATCACCACCACGACCACCACCTCCATCATCATCATCACACCACGACGACCACCACCATAATCATCATCATCATCATCATCATCATCATCATCATCATCATCATCATCATCATCATCATCATTACCGTCATCATCGCCATATTGAACTTATTAGCTTCGCTTCGCGTTTACTTGGAATTAATAAAATTATGTGACAGTCACCAATAATTTCAATGCATGTGAACATTTGTATGTGTGTATGTGTCTTTATGTGTGTTTGTATGTATGTGTTTATATGTGTTTGTATCTTTATGTGTGTGTATGTACGTTTTTATGTGTGTGTATGTGTGTCTTTATATGTATGTTTGTATGTATGTGTGTATATATATATTTGTATTGGTATAAACTTATACATGTTTGTAAATGTACAAATGCTCACATACGTACATTACATACATACATACAAATATACGTGGAAAAATACAAAAAAAAAACATGCAAAATGCATGAGCAA